CTCTTGGACTAAAAAGTAATAGTCATTTGATCTTCACCATTATTTTCCTTGCCAGCACATTTATTTCTTATAATTATTCACCATCTAATACCAACCGCAAAAATAATTATTTTTAAAATTAAAAATAAAAAATAAAAAAAAACCCTAAACCAATCATTTTAAAAACTAAGGAATCAAATTAATTAAATAAATAAATAATATAAACCACAGAACCTCAGGTCAAAACATCAATAATACTTCCTAATATTCTAATCACACATGTTCGACAATTTTAGAGTCATTTTTTATTGGAATACCATCGACGACTTTTTTCATTTCTCGAACGAGTGCTACTAAGACTGTAACGGCCCAGATCCACCGCTAGTAGATATTGTCCTCTTTAGGCTTTCCTTTTCGGCTTCCCCTCAAAGTTTTAAAACGCGTCTGCTAGGGGAAAGTTTCCATACTCTTGTAAAGGATGGTTTGTTCTCCTATCCAACTAGCGTGGGACATCACAAAGACGTTCAGATAAATTTATTTCTCATTTTCCTCTCTTACAATATTCATTAGAGATTATACTGAAAGGACAAAAAATGTTAACGAGACCTTACCATTCAAACCCGAATGCAAAAACTTTATTTAAAGCATTAAACATGAATGTCATGAATAATAAAGTTCAATATTATTAAAAAAACATAAAATATTCTAACAACATGCATCCAACCAAATGGGGAAGAGAAAACCAATAATATCTTTGTGTTATATATATATATATACACACATATATATATATATATGTGGGTGTGTTGGGTTTCAAATTTGAACATAGAAAGGAAAAATGAATTGGATTTTGTTCATAATTGTATCCATTTTCATATCCTTTGTTGTAAAGTTAGTTCTTTTCCCTTTGAGGAGTGGCCCTTACAAGCTCCCACCAGGGCCAACCGCCTTCCCAATACTCACAAACTTCTTATGGCTACGCCAGTCGCCTCTTGCGGTTGAATCTGTGCTGCGTAGTTTCATGGCTAAATATGGCCCCATCATCACCATCCATGTCGGTCCGTCCCCGGCCATCGTCATCGCCGATCGCTCCATCGTCCACAAAGCCCTCGTCCAAAATGGTGCCATCTTCGCCGACCGCCCTCGAGCTCTCTCCATCAATCGGATCACGGCCTCGGGTAACCTTGACAACATCACCTCCGCCCCTTATAGCCCTACTTGGCGTCTCCTCCGTCGTAATCTTGCAGGGGTAATGCTTCATCCTTCGCGGGTCAGGGGTTATTCTCGAGTCCGTAAAAGGGTGTTGGATATCCTCATCACTCGTCTTGAATCTCGACCGGGATCGGAGACCTTAGTTGTTCAACATTTTCAATTTGCTACGTTTTGTTTGTTGGCTTTGATGTGCTTTGGAGATGAGCTGAATGAGACACAAATCTTGGATATTCAACAAGTTCAACGTGAGATTATTGTAAATTTGCAACGCTTTCTTATACTCAATTTTTGGCCTAAATTGATGAAGATTTTGCTTCGTAAGCGTTGGAAGGAATATTTACAACTCAAGAACAAACAACATGAGGTGGGGTCAACTCTCCTTGACTTGGATTAAAAAGTTTTAAAAATGAAACCTTTAATTATTTATGTGTTCTTATTCTTATTCTTATTCTTGTTCTTGTTCTTAAATAGGTTCTGATCCCAATAATCAAGGCACGAGAGAAGGTCAAACATGAAATAACAAAAGAGGGAGAAGAAAAAGAAGAGAATTTGGTATCATATGTTGATACATTGATTGACTTGCAGCTCATTGACCAAAAAAGAAAGCTTAATAATGAAGAGATAGTAAATTTATGCTCGGAGTTTCTAAACGCCGGGACCGACACGACGACGACAACATTGCAATGGATCATGGCGAATTTAGTGAAGAACCCACAAATCCAACAGAAACTTTTCGAAGAGATCGATGGAATAATGAAATCTAGTACGACACAACATGAATTACTAGAGGAAGAGGTAAAGGAAGAAGATTTAGGGAAGCTTCCATATTTGAAAGCTGTGATTCTAGAAGGGTTACGACGACACCCGCCGGGGCATTTCATATTACCCCATGCAGTGAAAGAAGACACGACGTTGGAGAATTACTTCATACCGAAAAACGGGACGGTGAATATCATGTCGGGGGAGATGGGATGGGATCCGGAAGTATGGGAGGATCCAATGACGTTTAAGCCAGAGAGGTTCATGAGCGGCGAAGGAGAGGTGTCGTCGACGATGTTCGATATAACCGGGAGCAAGGAGATTAAAATGATGCCATTCGGGGTCGGGAGGAGGATATGTCCGGGGTATGGTTTGGCAATGCTTCATTTGGAATATTTTGTTGCAAATTTGGTATGGAGATTTGAGTGGAAAGCTGTGGAAGGAGATGAAGTTGATTTATCAGAGAAGATGGAATTCACCATTTGGATGAAGAACCCTCTCAAAGCACAACTACGTCCAAGGTCTTAGGACAATATGATATATAGTTAATTACTATTTTGTTCACTTTGTTATTATGTTGTTCAAGGGTATTATAGTCTTTTCCTACTTGTCGGGAAAAGTGATTATGTTCATAAGAGATCAAAATTGCAATGAAATGAAGTCGATTTTATATTTTTCGGGTTAGTTTGAATGTTCGATCTTACACAATTGTATAATTAAGTTATTTTGTTACCGTAATAAATCTAGATCTAACTTTTTTTTTATCAAATTGTTTGGACTTGGATAAGGTAGATAGTTTTTACTTAAAAGTTGGAACAAATGTTGCAAAATTTGACTTTCTTTGGGAAAGTATTGAAAAAAAAAATTATGGGTCGGCAAGATATGGCTAGAGATTTCCAATTCTCGCCTCTTATTTCCATCTTCATTTCTATAATTTTTTTTCTTCTGAGAATCCGGGTGGAGATTTTTGTTAGGATCGAATCGCCTACAAGAAATTTTTCACCATCTTTTTATATAATTTGATTATAAATTATTTTAAAGAATAATTTTCATTTTTAATATAATTTCTAAAAGGGTAAAATATCATAATAAATTTAATAATATTTTATAATTACAAATATAATATAATGTGCTACGTCAACTCAAATTTCAATATTATAACGTACTATTCTCCTCCCAAAATAAATAAATATATATACATGTATGTATGTGTGCATTATATATGTGTCTATTATGTGTATATATACATGTATGTGTGTGTATATATCTTAGATTTTTCTTTTACTCGCACAAATTACGTGTGAACAGAATTAAAAAAAAAAAAAAAGTAAACACAAAGAATATTTTAAATTGTATGTATGAAAATAATATTATAACAAATATATATAAACATTCTGATACTCTAATCATACAAGTTGACTAATGTCTATAAGAAGTCTAACGCATGAACCATTGTAAAATTTAGCGAAATAGTTTTGTAGAAAATTGAACTTGAAATTGATGTCATGGGCTCACTTAGGTTGACTTGGATTTTAAAAGATAAAATCGAATTTTCATTAAGGATAAATTGGTGATACCAGCTTAAACTAATCATGTAAGTGGCTGTACTATCGGTTCGGTTGGATAACTTGTCTTATGTATGATGACACGTGCTCAGTGGCCATTGCACGTGTCATGTGTGTTGTTGGTATTATGATGTGTTATGATAATGCTAGGATAATATGATGATGTGATTTGATATGATATTATGATGTATTACCATGATGATGTGAGGTATTATGTCACTATGATACGTTAGGATGATAATGCATTATTGATGTGATGACATGAGATACATGATGATGATATGACATGATCCAATGATGTCTCATGTTACGATGATATGCATGTATGAAATGCTATGTTGCATAATGATGAGTTTTCTAATACACAACTCCTAAATGACGTTATAAATTATGAATGTATGAAGGCTTATGCATGCATGTTATCTGTTGTAATATGTGAAAGATGTGTGGGGTTGTGTCCCATGAATGAGTTTTAAGATGAACAGTATAGGAACCTCATGCATATTGTAGGCTCATTTACATCGGGATACTTCTCTTTTTATGATGATGGGTATGAATTTGTACACTACAATGATGATGATGATCATTTGTGGCATGACATTCGAGAGTTTGTTGTACCTCCAGACGTCCGACTACAACCAACTAGCCCGACTATGATGGGCTCAGGAAGTGTGTGGACCGCCTGGTGGACTCATGCTCGCACGTGTGGGTCGTGTGCAGGGAAGTACTACACATCCAATTTGTCCAGACTAGAGGTCACCTCTATGATGGTTTTAAATGATAGGTCCCTGGTCATGATTGTGTGTGTTTTCATTCCCTAACTCGGATAGTGAGGTCACTTATTAAATATTTTTTTAAAATACTTCAGCCATGTGGTACTTCAATATTACAGGTAAAGGCAAGACACCTATGATTGATGGCGACATCGCAATTAAAGACCATGACACATGCATAGGGTAATTGTATTTAATTTCGTAGATCTTAAGTTAGTATATGACATTAATGTTTCTATATTTCCTTATGTTTATTTTAATATTTGTTTTGTATTGTTTTAAGACCTTTCTTTTTTAACACGTAAGTCGTGACATTGTTTTATGGAGTCGTTTTAAAATGATTATTTCTACCCAAGATGTTACGTCAGGCATATAGTAGTGACTTTAGATTAGTAGAAAATTAGGGCCATTTTTAAAATCTTAAAATTTATTTCTCATTTTTCTCTCTTGCAATATTCATCCGAGACCGTATTGAGAGGACAAAAAATGTAACCATGTTTACGAGACCTTACCATTCAAACTCGAACGCAAAAATCTTGATTAGGGTATTAAACACGGGATGTCATGAATAATAAACAATTCAATATTATTAAAAAAACACATCCAACCAAATGGGGGAAGAGAAAACCAAATAATATCTTTGTGTTTATATATATATATATATATATATATATATATATATGGGTGTGTTGGGTTTCAAATTTGAACATAGAAAGGAAAAATGAATTGGATTGTGTTCATAATTGTATCCATTTTCATTTCCTTTCTTGTAAAGTTGGTTCTTTTCCCTTTGAGGAGTGGCCCTTACAAGCTCCCACCAGGGCCAACCGCCTTCCCCATACTCACAAACTTCATATGGCTACGCCAGTCGCCTCTTGCAATTGAATCTGTGCTGCGCAGTTTCGTGGCCAAATATGGCCCCATCATCACCATCCATGTCGGACCGTCCCCGGCCATCATCATCGCCGATCGCTCCATCGTCCACAAAGCCCTCGTCCAAAATGGCGCCATCTTCGCCGACCGCCCTCGAGCTCTCTCCATCAATCGGATCACGGCCTCGGGCAACCTCGACAACATCACCTCCGCCCCTTATAGCCCTACTTGGCGTCTCCTCCGCCGTAATCTTGCAGGGGTAATGCTTCACCCTTCGCGGGTCAGGGCTTATTCCCGAGTCCGTAAAAGGGTGTTGGACATCCTCGTCACTCGTCTTGAAACTCGACAGGAATCGGACACCTTAGTTGTTCAACATTTTCAATTTGCTACGTTTTGTTTGTTGGCTTTGATGTGCTTTGGAGATGAGCTGAATGAGACACAAATCTTGGAAATTCATCAAGTTCAACGTGAGATTGTTGTCAATTTGCAACGCTTTCTTATACTCAATTTGTGGCCTAAATTGATGAAGATTTTGCTTCGTAAGCGTTGGAAGGAATATTTACAACTCAAGAACAAACAGCATGAGGTGGTCAACTCTCCTTGACTTGGATTAAAAATTTTTAAAAATGAAACCTTTAATTATTTATCGGTTCTTGTTCTTGTTCTTGTTCTTAAATAGGTTCTCATCCCGGTAATCAAGGCACGAGAGAAGGTCAAACATGAAATAACAAAAGAAGGAGAAGAAAAAGAAGAGAATTTGGTATCATATGTTGATACATTGATTGATTTGCAGCTCATCGACCAAAAAAGAAAGCTTAATAATGAAGAAATAGTAAATTTATGCTCGGAGTTTCTAAATGCTGGGACCGACACGACAACGACGACATTGCAATGGATCATGGCGAATTTAGTGAAAAACCCACAAATCCAACAGAAACTTTTCGAAGAGATCGATGGAATTATGAAATCTAGTACGACACGACATGAATTACGAGAGGAAGAGGTAAAGGAAGAAGATTTAGGGAAGCTTCCATATTTGAAAGCTGTGATTCTAGAAGGGTTACGACGACACCCGCCGGGGCATTTCATCTTGCCCCATGCAGTGAAAGAAGACACGACGTTGGAGAACTACTTCATACCGAAAAACGGGACGGTGAATATCATGTCGGGAGATATGGGATGGGATCCGGAAGTATGGGAGGATCCGATGACGTTTAAGCCAGAGAGGTTCGTGAGCGGCGACGGAGAGGCGTTGTCGACGATGTTCGATATAACCGGGAGCAAGGAGATTAAAATGATGCCGTTCGGGGTCGGGAGGAGGATATGTCCGGGGTATGGTTTGGCAATGCTTCATTTGGAATATTTTGTAGCAAATTTGGTATGGAGATTTGAGTGGAAAGCTGTGGAAGGAGATGAAGTTGATTTATCAGAGAAGATGGAATTCACCATTTGGATGAAGAACCCTCTCAAAGCACAATTACGTCCAAGGTTTTAGGACAATATTATATAGTTAATTACTATTTTGTTCACTTTGTTACTATGTTGTTCAAGGGTATTATAGTCTTTTCCTACTCATCGGGAAAAGTGATTTATGTTCGTAAGAGATCAAAATTGCAATGAAATGAAGTCGATTTTATATTTTTCGGGTTAATTTGAATGTTCGATCTTACAAGATTGTATAATTAAGTTATTTTGTTACGTAACTTATGTACTTTCTTATATTTATACTACTAAATCTAGATCTTAACTTTTTTTAAATAAGGTATACAATTTTTACTTAAAATTGGAATCAATGTTGCAAAATTTGACTTTCTTTGTGGAAGTACCGAAAAGAAGGGAAAGTCTTTCCCATTCCTGTTCTCGCCTTTTGTTTCATCAATCCTCATCTCTACAAAAATTTTCATTTATTTTTGTGAGAATCGGGGTGGAGATTTCGGTCAGGAATCAAGTTGCCCACAAAGAATTTTTCACAATCTTTTTATATAATTTATTAAAAATTATTAATTTCATAAATTATTTTAAAAAATAATTTTCATTTTTAACATAATTTCTAAAAGGTAAAGTACGGTAACAAATTCAACCATATTTTATAAGTATAAATATGATGTAATGTTTTTTACAGAACTCAAATTTCAATATTATAACGTACTATTTACCACACAAAAAAATAAATAAATATCTATCTATCTATATATGTATGTGTGTATACATGTGTACGTGTGTGTATATGTGCGTATGCGCGTGCGTGCGTGTGTGGGTGCTTGCGTGCGTGTATGTGTAAAGTGAGTAGGGCGAAGCGGGGATTTTGCAGGGTCAGGGACAGAAAAACATAATCTACGTCCCCGATCCTATTTAATTAACGAGGAAACATCATTTTCTATTTCCTTTCCTGTTTAAATAGGAATTACTATTCATAAATGAAGACATATAAATATAACTATTTTGGACCCAAACTTAGATTTGACATACTATCACTATTATAATAACATTCTTTTTCTTGAGTTCATTATTACTAGTTTGTTGGGTTGTTTGAGTACATTATTGTTAGCAGGTTTGGTAGTTTGATTCATCAATTCTTGAGTTATATTCTTTTGTTTTAAGATCCAACGCCCATTTGAGGCTTCGTGGGCCCTAATGCCATTAGTGACTGTAAAATATCTTCTATTTCAATAAGATCCTAACATTTATTTCAATGTGTGGGATAAGTTGGCACGAAAAAACATGGTGATAAGTTGGCACGTGAAAATATGGTGAAAATTTATGTGATTTTTATTAGTTGGTTGTGCATTGCCGGGGTGTTGCCAACAAGATAGCCATAACTCATAATGAGCAATCAATTGATATCGATGTCGGTGGCAATGGTAACTTAAATATGAGTCCTCATGGTAATGATGCATTTACTGCTAAGGCTGACGAACCTTAAAACTAGGAAGTTTATAAGAGCAATTCTAATAAGATATTTTGTGGGTGGGGATGAAAATGGCTCGTTCATCACAGTCATGTTTGTTTAAGATGGTGGCTTGTGGTCGCATGGTCATGACACGCCGAACCCCTTTACTTGCTTTCATTTTGTATTATTTTTTTTTAAGCTTTTTTTTTTGTTTTATGACTGTTCGACAAAATCGTGTTTAGCCTTACTAATCGCCTCAGAATGTACTATAGGAGGATGCGACTTCAGTCGTCAATTCTTTCTACCCAGAATTATATGTTATCGAAGCCGTTGAGTTGCATGTCTCGCTTATAGCCTATAACATTGCTTTTAAACTCTTCTTCGAAAATCTCTTTGTCCCCGTTTTCTAAAATCTTCTTCTCAAAACAGAGCCAAAAGCTTGAGTATATATTGTTCGACTATAGATGACACAAATTTGAATTGGCTTAACTCACTCTGTATCGGGAATAAGTTCTACACAATCGCAAAATTCGCTGTCAAGAAAAGTGCGATTGTGAGAATGAGCAAGCATTGGACTCCTAGAGGCACAGTGGATGCACTTAGTGAAGATGAGGTTGATGTTATAATCACTACTCGTCATTTCTATTAACAATTTTTTAAGGAAAGTCGAGTGAAATATGCAAAGTTGACAGATTGAGATACGAAGGCAATAAAACGATGCATCGTTCGTTACGACAAGTAGGTTAGATCATATCAGTTTTTCAGTTATGCTCTAAGAACTCATCGAAACTTATTTCAAATGTTGGTTTCTCCGTGAACTAAAACATTTAATATATTTTCTTAGAAACTCCGAAGTTTTAAAAATAAAACACATATATATATATATAATAACGGTCTTATACTTGTTAATAGAAATGACGAGTAGTGCTTATAACATCAGCCTCATCTTCACTAAGTGCATCCACTATGCCTCTAGGAGTCCAATGCTTGCTCATTGTCACAATCGCACTTTTCTTGATAGTAGATTTTGCGATTGTGTAGAACTTATTCTCGACACTAAGTGAGTTAAGCCAATTCAAATTTGTGTCATATATGTAATAAAACAACGTGAGCCATCAAATCAGGCGTCTTTCTTGACACCCATCCAAGGTATTAACTCTTACTGGAGGACCTGCCAACCCTAAACCCTAAACTTAACCAAGGGAGAAAGGTGAACTAGGGTTAACCAAACAAAGGAGAAGGTACTTGTTAACCAGAGAAGAAGCCAACAATATCTCTCATTTTCCTCTATGATATCACTAAAACGTCGACTTATTACGATGAATAATTTAGATAACATCGTAGGGAACATAATTAACAAACTAAAGACTATTAACTATCTACCCTTCCTGACAATTGATTACAAAAGTAAGGAAAATAGGTACTCGTTTCAGTGGGAGACATTGAGTCTGCATGAGAAAGATGTTGTTGTTCTAGAATAGCTAAAGCTTGAACCTTCCATAATGAGCAATGTCCCTATGCTATCTTCGTCTCCCTTTACTTAGTCTTTGTCTTTTCTTTCCTTGATTCTCGTCCTTGGTGTAGTCCTTCAAGGTATTCTTAGTGAAAGGACAATGAACCTCCCTTTACCTTTTCCAACCTCACTTAACCACTCTGACATTCCTATGGCCTTTACTTCTCCGCGCCCGCTCACGCTTCGCTGAACTATGGCGTGGTAAAGAGAAGAGAGGTGTAATCCCGGTATTTGAGTTCGAAAAGACTCATCGAAAGTAGAATTAGACTAAAAATACAATAAAAATAATTAGTTTAAAAATATATATTCATAACAAAATAAAAAAATACTATAAAAGTATTTTACATACATTGAAAAGGGACTACTTATGCTTATGCATAACACAGATAGATATATATATATATATATTTATTTATTTATTTATTGTGATATAAAATAAGTTCATAAATAAGTTAGAATTTAGAATTATATGTCTTAATTTTAGAAAAAAAACAAACTAATTTTATAACAATCCAAATTTGTATTCACCCTTTTGGGTGTAAAAAAAAAACTCTTGAAATAATCAATAATCTTCCTACTACTAAATGTTTGAGTCATAATAACAATAGCATACCACAATATCAACCTTTGACACATGGATTGAGGCGTAATATCGACATTTTACTAAAAAAAAACTCATTTTCAAAAGAAGACACCCAAAACACTCGTCTTGCAATGCTCACCCACACTGTGATACGTGTATGTGTCACATGGTAGCTCACTTAGGTTAGAGGGTTCAAGGGAGGTGAAGAGCTGACACCATACCTTCTCAGTATAGTACTTTTTTAGGCAATTTTGGTCCGACAGAAGTAGACATGATTTTTCACGAGTGATGATACGACCTCGTGGAGCGCCCGTCGGGTGTTTGATTAACACCTAATTTGGCGAACATTTATCTTTCATATAGTTTGACTTAGAGTCGTACATTGAAACTCATATCGAAACTCCGACTTTTTAGGTTAAAGTCCGTTGCCCTACCCGACCATTTTTTGAGTCTGTCTCTGACACTCTTGTTTATCCTTTGCCTTTGTTTTACTTATGTCTCAGCTTGATTTGAACGCACACTCTTCTTAGTATGTTGGATGATACATCATCCTCGATTGCATCATAGCATTTGTCTATCTTGGTCCTCACATGACTAGATGAGCGCCACTTGAAAGTCGCCACCTTGTCTATCTGCATTTGGGGGTCACAACCTACTGTCATCTTAGTGAGGTTGTGACACTCTTCCCTACATAAACTAGTCATCGTTTTTTATAACTTTCTCAAAAGCATAATCACTTCGTATATTGTAACACTCTTCCACACTTAATATTGGCATCATCTCGATGACGATCCAACGATCCAAACTTTAGATTGGTTGCTAATTAATTTGTTGGAAATAAATGTGTTTTAGAATGAATATGAAAACTACACCCTACTTATGGGTTATCCCACTGATAAACCTTCTCTCAGTCCATAACCACGACAAACAACAATTTGCCCAATGGTTGTGGGCATTCCCACTAGAGACCTACCTCGCCCTCTGTCGAACTCGACGACTGATGCCTCAATTTGGTTTGAATGTACATTTTTTTTGGTGTGTTGGATAATACATCGTTCTTCTCAACTATATTGTGACACTTGTCTATCTTGATCTTCACAGGTTGGATAGGTGCCACCTTTTCTATCTATGTATTAGAGTTATAACTACGGTCAAGACTTAAGATTTTTTTCATTGGATGACAAAACTCAGATTTTTTTTTTTCGAATTTATTACTTTATGTTATGTTTGGATTATTACTCTTTTGTTTTTCTTGTGTTTAGGATTGGATAGTTCGTTGGGGTCGGAAGACATGTACTTTGGAAAGTTAATTACAAAACTTGATATATATATATATATATATGCGCGAATGACAGAGTTTAAATTTGGGTCCTACAATTGCACGTTACTGTCCTTGTTATACATGTATGCATGTCTAATCCCATTAAATCCACACCATTTTAGTTTTGGGTAACCAAAATCCGTTGACAAACTTCCATTAGATCCGTCTGGGTTGTCTCTAGTGGGTATTGGGTCCGACATAACATAGTGACAGTATCGAGGAAAATAAAAAAGTAAAGCCAAAATGACCCACCAATCCTTGCATTTCAAGGACAAGGAAGCTTGAGAAATACCAAAGAAAAACAATAGGTAGCCTATAACCATGATCTGGACCTTGCGGTGCGCGTTCTACAAAATCAAGGTTACAACAATTAGGGATGTACATGGTTCGAATTGGGTTGGGTTGAAGAATTTTTTTGGATCAACCCAAAAGTTCGGGTTTGTTGGACTGGTAACCCAACTCAACCCGTAAATTTTCACGACTCAACCCAACCTAACCCAAACCTCTCTTTTTGGGTTGGGTCTGGTTCAAGTTGTTCCAAATAAATAAATAAATAATAATAATAATTAAAAAAAAAATTGTGAATCAATTGCATATTTTCATGGATATTATGACCTACAAGTGTAATTTTTTTTTATCACCTATAGACTTTTAGTCCAGCAATGGATTCAAGACTTCTTTTAACTAAAAGTTGTGATGCTATCACCTAAAATAATTACCACCTATAAACTTTTAGTTTAAAGGTATCCAACCCTCTATTGCATTTATATTATCACTTATAAATATGCAAATGAAACTTTTAGTTTAAAGGTATCCAACCCTCTATTGCATTTATATTATCACTTATAAATATGCAAATGATAAGCAATGGATCAATTTCAACCTTACCTACGTATAATTAATTTATCTACATATAATTAACTTTTAGTTTAAAGGTATCCAACCCTCTATTGCATTTATATTATCACTTATAAATATGCAAATGATAAGCAATGGATCAATTTCAACCTTACCTACGTATAATTAATTTATCTACATATAATTAACTTTTAGTTTAAAGGTATCCAACCCTCTATTGCATTTATATTATCACTTATAAATATGCAAATGATAAGCAATGGATCAATTTCAACCTTACCTACGTATAATTAATTTATCTACATATAATTAATTTATCTACGTTCACAATATATATAATAGTTCAACAAAATACTTAAAAATTTAGTTTTTGTAAAAGGGCAAGTAATTCATCTATTTAAAACTTGAGCACCAACTTCAAGAGAACACATTATATAAAAATAATAAAAATAATAAAAATAAATAGTTTAAATAAATGGTGCATAACAAAAAGAACTATTGATAAAAGAAAAATAATTATTTGTGCATGACAATTGGTGGAGCGGGTCTGAAAAATTAGAAAAATATAAAATTGTGATATATCATAGAGTAGATTGCAACAAATAGACAATAAATAAGTTATAGAGTTATCTATCTCAAATTTTCTGTACATAGAACTCAAATCTCTTTAAAAAAAATATAGCAGTAAGACGCTACACTACGAGGCTTAGTGTTTTCACGTTTTTGACAGCATCGAGATGCTCTTCCCCAAGCTGGTAAGACTCCCCAAACAGGACTAATGGTGACTGGAAACACCTTGTAATAAGACGTTCACTAAGAACTTAAATGACCAAGACATGGAACAAGCATGGAACAATATCATGGAACAATATCCAAATATTGCTTTTGAGGATGTTCCAACGGTTTTCTAAGAATTTAGCCAAGTACTTGTGTGTGGCCCCAGGGTTCCCAAACTTGTGATGGCTAAAGTTGGCCTCCAAACGACATTATGCGCCTTATAAATAGGGCTCATATCAAGGATTAAGGGCATAGATCTAATTCCTAGAGCTTCAGGATTGTGTTGAAATAAGAAAAGGAAGTCCTCCCAACATCTTTGTCAGTCACTGGCTATACCCACTCCTTCAGGATCATGTATTTATGTAAGATTCTTCTGTTTTAAACATGACCAGAAAAGATGAAAGAAGCTTAATATTAACTTGTTTGCACTGCTCCCCCCTATCAGTATACATTTTTGGCTCCACAAAATTCTCTTCTTTACAAATGATGTCATGAGTATCACATTTAAGACAGAATTTCTAAGCTCCTAGGTTTGGGCAAGGGGGTAAGTCTTCCAAATAATCAATCTTCTCTATTAGATTTAGGCCAACTCTTTCTATTTCAAGTTTTCAGGGAATCTTTCAAGGACCCATTTAAAATCCCTTTCTTCATGGGATAATGATTGAGGGTGGATCTATCAAGTCTGTGGACCATGGAGTTGAGGAAAGGCAGAACAAGCATGTGCTACTGAAATGGAGAACAAGAAAGAATCTGCAACAAGATCAATGATTATGTAGCCGAGGTCCATTTCAGTTGCACAACAAGCACTTGCAACCATATAACTGAATAGCAGTACGAACCAGCAAAAGCACAAACAGGGAAGTACATATAAACTTTCCTCCCAACAATTCAAAAAATGATCAAGAATGAACATCTTCTCATGGAAACTCAATTCAAATCCATCAGAGCATTCTCCAGCCTCTATTGATTAGACCCATATTATCTTGGTTTTGGGCTACCAAACTTTGTTGGCAAATTTCAGTTGGTTCCTTGAGGATTATGTCTAGATGGTACTGGATCCGAGATAACATAGTGACAGCATCCAGGAAAAGCAAAAAGTAGATGATGGTACACAAAAGATCTAAAGCCAAAACGACCCACCAATCCTTGCACTTGAAGGACAAAGAAACCTGAAAGATACCCAAGAAGAACAAGCATCTCAAAACGAGGTAGCCAATAACAATATTTGAACCTTGGTCTCATGGTAACAAACCCTTGTTTCTTGGTTCTCATTAATATCTTTCATCTCTACAAAATTCCCCTAAATTCTCCAAGCCAAATTACTTTGATCTGAATAGCCAGATTACAATAGCCAGATTACAATAGCCAGCCTTAAATTTCCAATTCCTACGGTGTTTCTGAAAAACAAATGAAAGTGAAAACTACGGAACTTTATCCATGCCATTTGTTTGGCCCTTTCTCCGACCGATATGTTTGAAAAGTTGATTGTCGTTTTCATATTTTCTTTCCTTCAATAATTTACAACCTACATCTATCTACTTTTCTGATTCTACATTTTTCTTCATCTCTCTCTGTCTAAGGGTGCGTTTGGATTGTGTTTCAAGTGTTTAATTTGAAAAAAAAAAAAAAAAAGTCATTTTCATAAAATTTGTTGTGTCTGTTAATCACCCAAAATGACTTCATAAAAAAAATGATTCTAAGAAACGTGTTGTTGGGTGTTTAATTGGCAACTCCTTCCAAACTTTCATGACATACGAAAATGACCAAAATACCTTCATACTACCATCACTTCTCTTTGGCCGCTAGCCTTTTGATGAATAAGCAAACAGTGTGGGAATAATGGCCTAAACCACTGACAATACATATATATATATATATAGGAATAACACAAGCTTTCCTTGAGAGAAATGACAGACATACAAAAACCAATCCAGCAAAAGAAGGAGACCTCAAGAGTAATCTGATGACCATATGGATTTAATCAGAGAGCGGTTGACCAAGCAAAAATGCTTTGATCTTGTGGAAAATCTGGATTGCAATTCAGGATAATGTTTTTAATTAGGACTCTTTTCCATCGAGCCCTTTAATCGATTACATTAAATTCGAGAACAACTGTGGAGAACGATTGGATACCCCTGTTTTTTTTTTCTTTTTTCTGCTGGATAGAGGCCTTTTTCAGCCACTAAACCAAGTATATATATGTATTCCAAATTTATACAGCAGAAACAGATCTAAGAACTCATTATTTAATGAAAAACCAAAGACAAATGAAGGAATACACGTGAACAAAGTACAAAACAAAGTCTATAAAAAGGCTCTAATTTCAATCACGAATACAAAACCTCCTCCAATTTCGGCCCGTTTTCCTTGAAACCCTTTCTTCCTTTCTAAACTTCTTGCACAGATATTTTACGCCCAGCACAATTGGAAGCTAAATTCTAACTACGACTCCACCATATCATTTGCATAGCAAGTACTTATAAGCATATAATTCAATCGCAGCAACAGCAAGCAAAGCACAGACAATGAAATAGATATAAACATTCCTCCCAACAATTGTAGAATGATCAAGCATGAGCATCTTCTTATGGAAACCGAATTCAAATCCATCACAAGATTCACCAGCCTCCACTAGATCCATATCATCTCGGTTTTTGGGTATCAAATTTTGTTGGCAAAATTCAATTAGTTCCTTGCAGATTATGTCTAGCTGGTACTGAGCCCGATGTAACATGGTCATAGCATCCAGGAAAAGTAAAAAGTAAATGAAATTCCATAAAAGACTTAAAGCCAAAATGACCCACCAATTATTGCACTTGAAGGACAAAGCCTGAGAAATACCATAGAAGAACAAACGAACCCAAATGAGATAGCCAAAAACAATGTTCTGAACTTTGTTTTTATGGTAACACACTTTTGTTTCTTGCTTCTCATTCACATCTATCAACTCCTTAAACCTCCTCTTCAACTCCCCATGCGCCATGACTACGGAACTGAATTGGGTATCAACTAGTCCCAATAAATAAAAAGGAAGTCAAGAGTAAGATTAAGAAAGAAAGGGAACTGCACTCTTAGAAGGGAATAGCCTAAAACTGGATATGAATCTCTCCTTGGAAAGATCAACCTTATATAGGCACGTATCTACAAAGAAAATTAATGGGAATTTCCTGCCTACATGTTCTGTTGTTGTTAATTCACGAAGCTTCCCTTAAATTCCCTACTTCGGATCTTTGACAGCAAAAGAAAAGGGAAGGACACCGACATGGCTTGTCGTTTCTAGTTCACATTTCTTAATGACGGCTAACCGTACTGACCGTTTCACAGGTGGAGGGTGATGATTGGGGGATTATTGGCCTCAATTGTGCTTGTGTAATCAGATTATCCGATTCGGCAAAAGCCCCACCCACTTCTTGATGAATCCATTCAATTACAATATCTATTTCTAACCCTTTCAATTCTTTTTGCCCTCGTGATATTTCCTAAATTCTCCGTCAATCTCCCTCTCCCATCCCCATTAACTTGACTAGAAAGGGAGCCGACTAAGAAAAGCTCACAATCCACAATCAGAAAAGGGAGCATGCTCTAAATTACTGAAGAACAGAAAACGCGGATAAATTATCTCACATTTTTCAAAGATACCGGTGCGGAGTACCTGCCAATCCGGAATTTGGGAAGGACCGAGTCAACTGGATGAACTTCGATCCGCCATGTTGGCGTTGCGGAAACTGGATTACGAAGCTTCATCATTCGGCTTCGGCTTCCATTTTTTTCCAAAGATGCCGTTTGAAATTTTCCTCGTGAAATTGACGGCAAGGGGGTGTACACACTGGAGTTGGGGTGAAGTTTTTGGTTGAATTGATAATCGCACCCAATAATTTTCAGAATCCAGTTCGGTTGTCACGTGATCAAAAAATATATATATATTTTTTAAGTTTTATTTATTTACTGTATATAATTATTTAAATATAATTTTATATAAAATATATTAAAACTTTACCAAAACAAAAATTGATCTATAATTATTCACATAAAAAAAATTAATAAAAAGCCACCCGCAAAAATTGTAATATATTAACACCAACAAAAATAGTAATATATTAACATAGTTCAACATTGTCATAAAACTAAAAACAATTAAATATCGATAATTTTTAAAAATTAGTTAAAGTAAAATATATATAAGAATAGATTTGTTGTACCTGACAAAAATAAAAATACTATAAAATAATAAATATTTTAATTGCAATACGCATGACAATGATAAAGTTAGAAATTAAACCAAATATAAATAATATTAAAAAAAATGTATATGTGGGTTCATAGGCCAAGTTTCACTCTAGCAAAATTATTAATATGGAAAGATTCTTAATATATTTATATATTTTTATTTGGCTCGGGTCAACTCGAAGGTTTTATTCATGAACCTGAAACCGAACCGATTTAACTTCGGTTTAGAAAAATGAATCCAACCCTACCCAAATCTTATAGTTTGAATTGGGTTGGCCTAAATTGTCGAGTTGTCAGTGGAATATACACCCCTAATAAATACCTTATTTACTTTCCGTTATTCGGAAGAACTGGGAGGAAATAGGAAACGTTTATTTAACCGGAAATGAGATCCTATTATCTATATCCATTATCCATCCTCTCATTTAATATGATTATACTTAATATATTTAAATTAAATACTTGTAAAAAAGTTTAACTATTAATTACTATGTTATAATATTAAATTTTAAATTTTTAAAATTTATTTTCGTAGAACATCTATTGATTTTTGTTTATAAAATTTATTGATTTACTCCTACTTTCTTTTTACAAATTTTTAAAGATTAATTAAAAAAATAAAAATTTTAAAATAACTACTTTTTAAGAGAATAATAAACCAAAAAAAAAAATACCAGCAAGAAACTCCATCCGGCTAATTCCTCGTTCGAAATCCTCTAAAAATAAATGAAAAAAATTTGCATAGATAGAAAATGAAATAGGTGGAGGGGATAGGAATGAGGATGTGTCCCGTGCACATCCCTAATTCCCTTCATTTATATAACTCTTCGAATATATTTTGTTCATATTTTAGTAAATATAATTTATAAATTTGAAGATTTTATCAATTAATGAACTTTTTTAATAAATAAAAAAAAAGGAAAATGATCGATGACATTGCTTCTTTGGCCTGAAAGGCAACGACAAAGACCGATTTTGATAAAAAAAAAAAAAGAAGAAAGAATTATCTCTCTATGTTTTGGTTTGGGACGGAATTTTTTTGTAATTTGAGACTCCTTTAACGGGTAGCTACTGTAAAATGACGATTTTACCCTTTGTTCATTTCCCGTTCTTTGCTCTTTAATATATATTTCCTTTCATTTTCATCAAGAATCTATCTTGATCATCAAATAAATAATAAAATACCTTTTTTGGTGGAACTAAGGATCCCTTCAAACAATTACAAAATTTAACAACAAATTTTGGATAATGGTAGAGGTTTCTGGTAATAGTGTGTTAACAAATATTGTCGGCTTTGGTCTATTACGTATCACTTTCAGCTTCAGTCTGTTACATATCGCGTCAACTTCACGGTTTTAAAATGCATATGTTACATTCCCTTCTCCAACCGATGTGGGATCTTACAATCCACCGCTAACATATATTATCTGCTTTGTCCTATTACGTATCACAATCAGTCTCATGGTTTTAAAACGCGTCTACTAGAGAGATGTTTCCACACCCTTATAATAAATGTGTTGTTACCACTGTGAGATCTCACAATCCACCCCCTTTGTTAAGAATGAGAAATAGAAATAAAATTGGGATCGGAAAGTATCATCTTCATTCAGGTTTACCACGTTAAAATAGGATACAAACTATCCACTAATATCTAAAAATAGAAATATATATATATATATAATTAACTAAATCTGGTAAATAAATAAAATATACGGTTGATCAAATCTATACTAACAACCTCATAAATATCTGAGATATATTCTAACTAATTATTAAAATATATCTCCAAAATATCATCTCTTAGTACTCCCCCTCAAGTTGGTGAGTGTATGTTGATCACACCAACTTTTCCTTCAAAAAGTCAAACTGATGTCTTCCCAAAGCTTTAATAAAAACATCTGCCAATTGCATTTTGGTCAAAACATAACATGGTTTGATGATTCCAGCTTGTAACTTTTCTCGAACTATATGACAATTTATTTCAATGTGTTTCGTACGTTCGTGAAAAACTGGATTGGCTACTATATGTAATGCTGCTTGATTATCACAATATAATAATGCTGGTTCGGACAGTGGAACATTCAAGTCTTGAAAAATGTATCTTAACCAAGTTAACTCTAAACAAGTATTTGCCATAACTCGATACTCGGCTTCTGCTGATGATCTGGACAGATTAGTCTGCTTTTTAGACTTCCAAGAAATAATTGAATTTCCGAGAAAAATGCAGAACCCAAAAATAGACCGTCTGGAAGTTCAACAACCACCCCAGTCAGAATCGCAATATGCTTGTAATCTTAAATTGTTTTCAGATGGCAGTAGGAGTCCTTGACTAGGAGTGCCTTTGATGTACCTCAGAACTCGAAGAGTTGCCTCCCAATATGGTTTTCTTGGTTCATGCATAAATTGGCTAAGCATACGAACTGAATAAGCTATGTCAGGCCTAGTGACGGTCAAATATATTAATCTGCCAATCAACCGTCTGTATTTACTTGAATCATTCAACTTCTCTCCTTCAGTTAAAGAAAGTTTCAGATTTTGCTCCATAGGAAATTTGTTTAGACGTGCTCCTGTAAGACCTGTGTCTTGAAGGATGTCTAGAGCATACTTCCTTTGAGACATAAAAATTTCTTTTCTAGACCGAGAAAATTCAATGCTTAGAAAATATTTCAAATTTCCTAAATCTTTGATAAGAAATTTCTGGAGTAAACTAGTCTTGAGATATTAAATTTCTTTGAGAACATTGCCTGTCAACAGAATATCATCAACATAGATTAGAACTGCAGTGAAAGAAGTACCTTTCCTCTTAGTAAACAAAGAGTAATCTGCTTTGGACTGAGTGTAGCATGCATTTTGTATCGTTGTAGAAAATATGGAGAACCAATTGCGAGAAGTCTGTTTTAATCCATAAAGAGATTTATGGAGCCGACATACTGTATTCTCCCCCTGTCGGCGAAAACCTGGTGGTAAAGACATATAAACTTCCTCGTCTAGATTACCATGGAGAAAGGCATTTTGAACATCCAATTGATGGGTGAACCATTTTTTAGCAGCAGCAACAGTGAGTAAGCAACGAAGTGTAGTAAGTTTCGTTGTAGGGGAAAATGTTTCTATGTAATTGATACCTTCAACCTGAGTGTATCCCTTTGCCAAGTCGAGATTTATAACGTTCAACAGAACCATCAGAGTTGTATTTAATTTTGTACACCCAACGACAACCAATAGCTTTATGACTAGGTGGTAGGGGAACGAGAGACCATGTATGATTACGTTCCAAAGCTGCAATTTCATCATTCATAGCCTGCTGCCATAACGGGTCGCCAACTACCTCGTCATAGGTTTTAGGTTCTATCTGGGATGTAATAAGAGCTAGAAAAGCACATTGAGTAGGAGAAAAACGAGAGAATGAAAGGTAATGATGAAGGGGATACCTGGTGCCAGTGTCGGGACTTGAGCTAGAGGTTAAATGATTGGCTCTAGAAGACATCTCATAATCCTTATGATAAGCTGGAGGCTGTTTAGTACGAGTAGAACGTCGAAGTGGAGCTGATATATCAAGTGGGATAGGATTGGAATTAGTGAGCAAATCTAGAGAAGGTAGAGGAGACGATGAAGTAGTAGGTGAAGGGATAGGAGGTGAAGGAGGAATAGGAGGTGAAGGAATAGAAGGTGGAGGATGGATGTTTGAGTAGGATGGATCATGAAGTGGTACAACAGAGTCGAAGGAGCTAATGTCGAAGTTTGTGAAGCTGATGAAAAAGGAAAATCATCTTCACAAAATTTAACATCACGGCTGATAAAGAATTTGTGAGATTGCATGTCATACAACTTGTAACCTTTATGACCACAAGGATATCCTACGAAAACACAAGGAATTGCCCGAGGTTCAAATTTCTGCTTAGGATGTACTATAGTTGCATAACATTTACAACAAAAAACTTTAAGATGATGAAATGTAGGTGGTCGTTTGTAGAGTACTTCAAAGGGTGTCTTGTTAGATAACAATGGTGATGGCGTTCTATTTATAAGATAAGCAGCCGTTAAAATGCACTCTCCCCAAAAATTAAGTAGAACCTGTGACTGAAAAAGAAGAGACCTAGCTACATTTAGGATATGGCGATGCTTACGTTCTACGACTCCATTTTGTCGTGGAGTATAGACACAAGTGCGCTGAAATTCAATACCCCAAGAAGTAAAGAATGGTTACAAAGTAAAGAACTCAGTCCCATTGTTTGATCGAACTATCTTGATAGTAGTATGAAATTGAGTTTGAACGAATTTAACAAAGTTCATTAACAAATGATGTACTTCTGACTTATGTTGCATCTCTTCTTGTACAATGAATAAGCTTGCCTCACATTAGGTAATGGAGACATCATCAATATGTTAGATCTCACCGTTTTATAAGACTCATTGAGCCCCATGAGCAATTGCATCAACTTGTCTTCTTCGCGTTGATCAATATGTATTTGACGTTGATTACAGGTAAATGGCATGCAGTATGCTTCTAGTTCATCCTAGAGTGCTTTGAGCTTGGTGAAATATGTTGACAGTGCCATGGTTCCTTGTGACATCGTTGCTATCGAGTT